ACTTTAATTATAGTTTTGACCATTTTGAATTTTTCTTTTACCGGGAAATGAACCTAAGGTGAAGGCTTTCATTTTTTTAAAAAAAGTATGCAATTCTTTTTTTAAACATTCATATTTCGATTTTAAAAAATTACATGATCAATGCAAATAATTCAATTCTAGTGGCAAACTTGCAACTTTTCATTTATGCCATTTATAATTAACAAACTCGAGAAAATGTGCAAAAAATTAACTTCCCGATAGAGTAATCGTTTGGAAATGTACATTTTCTCAGGAATACCAGTAGTATAAATGGTGTGAGTATTTTTTTTTTAAAATATACTATTGAAGAAAAAGAAATCTCCTATTTAATTGTCTTAACAATGATTTACTTAAGTTTATCAATAACGTAAGTTATGAAAAATGCACGTGCTATGTGTATACCCACAGAGATTGCTACATAAAGGCTAGCAGACACGTATTTCGTTGACTGCTAGAATACGATCGATCAACACTCACACGTCGAGTGGTAAGAAAGGTGTGTCTTGAGTTTTACATTGTTTGTTTAACGTCCCTTTGAGAAATTTTCACTCATATTGAGAAGCCACTACTCATCGGTGGAGGGCTGCAAATTAAGTGAGGGATCTCTTTCGTGCCAGCACCTACTGTGTTACGGGACCTCCGGTGTATACAGTCCTATCCGAAGGACCGGCCTTTAGTCCCGCAGTGGGATTTGAACCCGCTCATTTACACAAAGGGTTTTTTTTTTTAAACTTCATTTTTTATTGTCTCTGGGTCTTCTCTCCATTTTTTTTTTTTTTTTTTTTTTTTTTTACAAATGTTTGTTCGTTTCTTTCAATTAAAATGCATATAAAGTTTCAAAATCATTGAGAGATGACCCAGAGATTGCAAATATTTAGGAAAAAACGTGTTTAAAAATGTAACATTTTGTACCAAATGACTTATTTATCAATTTTCAAGTTATTTTAGCAAATCAAAACACAATACCGGGAAAATATTTTCCTTAACCATTTCAAAAGAATCCGATACATCAAAAGAATGCTAAAATTTCATGTGAAATATCAATGAAATTTTCACTTTTCAAGTGCGTCCAGATTCCTGCCGAATGCCAATCTAATGTGCTCTCGTTCTTTGTACTGGAAGATTATACAAACCTGTAACTATTTAAACGATCAAGATAATTCAAAATCTAAATTTTGACTTAAATCTGTTTTCAGTTTATGGTCTTGGAGCCAGGCTTCGGGACCACCAACTCTGGTATTTTCTCAAATCTAAGACTTTTCAGAAAACTTGAGGGTTTTTTTTCCTACCAAACATTTTTCTCAAATATAAGATGTTTCTAAAACGCGGATGCCACCAACATATTTTTCAGACTTAGTTGAGAAAAAAAATCAGTATTTTTTTTTCAGAAATAAAAATGATGACAATGTATACTTTAATCAGAGAATATAAAAAAAAAAAAATAACGTGTACGAAACTAGATCGTCCCTGCCATTTTGAAATGAAGGAGGGGGGGGGGTTAGAAAAAAACATATGCACATGTGGAATAACATTATACATATATAAATTTGTCCATTTAGTGAAACACTGCACTTGAAAACTTGACCCCCTCCCACCCACACATAAGCCCTCCATCATACATGCACACCCTCACTCACACACAAACCAGTCAAACAGAATATTCTGTGTATCTTCATGCGGGAAGTAACCCCCTCTACAGTTATAAGGTGTCAGTGCCATTTGTGATCAGGCAAATTTTCTAATTCACTAATACCTTATCAGAAATTCAGTGACAAATAATTAAAAAAACAAAACCAAGCATCCACCGTATGTCACCGACCCCTGCTTGTTTTCTGTCGCAACTTATGCACAATAACGGAGCATTTACATTTAATCAAGAATGTAATGATAAGGAACATTTCGCTTTTAATCTGCTTTGGTCGGCGAAAATTTGATGAAAAACTCAAATTTTCTGAGAAATCTCAGCGGTGATGTCCCAAGGCCAGAAAGCTGAGTAAACAGAGTTAGCTCCAAATAGAAAATATCAAATTAGTCTTTTTTAGGTTTGCTATAATATATACGAAATTCAATGTAATATTAATTTGGCACTTTTTTTCTCAATTTTTGCAAGATCAATCTGCAAAACAGATGCCTTTATGCATTTCTTTACAGTGTAACTCCTCTTCCCCAAGCCTGGAATAAATCAAGATTAATTGCATCACTTGATTACTTGCGTCTTTTTTAGCTCTATTAGTCAGAGTCCAGAAGAGCTTATGTAAATTACAGTAAAAAATTATAGTAAATTATCCGTCCTTTGTTTGTCTAGCCGTCTCTATGTCTATAAAAAAAAATCAAAATGATACTCCTCCTACAGTCAATATAACTTAGTACGCAAGTAGATTGCACTACGATACATTCTGTACATCACTTTTTGATTTCGTTGAACGGTGTTGCCATGGTTACTAAAAATAGAAATCTTTCAAAATGCTACTTCTACATCTTTAATCTGATTTCAGTGAAATTTTCTGGGGGTGAACTATTGCTATTTTTGTTCGTCTTGTGAAGTGTGTCGGTCGTAAACTTTTTAAAGTCTTCAGCTTCTTGTCTTGAAGCCGTCACGGTAGCTCAGTCGGTAGAGCGCTCGCTCCCTGATCGGAAGGTCGTGTGTTCGAATCACGACCGCGACTGACCGAAGTCAATAAAAAATAGGTATAGCAACTGTTCCTTCGCCAAGCGCTCGGCACTTTGAAGTGAAAGTTGCTGGTCCTTCGGATGAGACCTTAAAAACCGAGACCCCGTGTCACGGTAGGCGTTGGCACGATAAGAACCCTCACAGTTCAATGACCCTGAGTGCCGAGTAAAGGTCTTAATTTGAAGCCCTTGACCGGTATATGGTGATGTCTCTATCGGAGTGAAAATTTTCGAACGGGACTTAAAACAACATACAATCAATCAATCTTGTCTTGAACTGCTGAACCGACTTCAACCTGACGATTATTAATATTAGGTCCAAAAGTAAGTAAGTGATTTATGATTAAACGTTCAGAGTTACAGGCATAAGGGTGCATTGCCCAGACTAGCTGTGTTAGGGTATCAATGTCTAGTGTGGTCAAGAACAATGAGCTTTCAGTTATTGGGCCGATGGGGGATTTAGTTAAGGTTTTGGCCAAGTTGTTCAATAACATTCTTGTGATAACTCGAACTTGCAAACTTCATATACTACCTGACCTATCAATTGGAGAGCATGAGAAGTAATAGAAACATGCTAAACACCCAAACGGACCTGATGTCATAATTATCACATTATACATTACAGGTTACATAACATTTGGCCGTTCTGGAATACTTCATTCATGTCTAGCAAATCAGGTATTGAAGCTGGTCAGGTCAACACTTGTCGAATATTATTATCAGATTAACTAATGGGTGTTCATTTCAATGCAAACTAAGTTTTCTACATTTAGATTTTTTAATAGTCTACACATATTCATAAGTTGCAGACGTTTGATTTTTATAACAGTTTAAAAATATCAAAATTTAGGCAGCAGTGGGTTTCGTTTTTCATTTGCTCATTTCCCCACAAAACAAATCTCAGCATCTGAATTGTACATCATTTTCTGGAAAGCTGTGAAAATGTTAGCATTGTATGGTTTTGTAGTTCGTTATGTTAGCATGGATGGTGCATAGACCAATCGATAAGAAGACTGACACTTTAAAAAACCATGTTAGTAACAAACATATTCAGACCACCATTATCAAAAATCTCTATAATAATGGACTATAACTGTTGTAAAAGTGGTTTGAGATCTGCACATAAAAGGAAATTGACTCACCTCACAGATCTTCACTCATTTTATGGGATCATTGGGTGCAAGCATTTAACAGGGATGTGTCTGAAAACCCCAATCCAATTCACCGAAAATTAACACATGAACATTTCTTCCTTACCTCGTAGTCTATACATCTGTCTGGTGTACTTGCTATCTTCACTTGTTAACTCACAAGTACAGCTGTCCACTGTGTTTATAGGTATGTTTATGTATGTGTTATTTTTGTGTATTGTGCATGTTATAAGAGTTACATACTAGGGGTGGGACGATACACAGATCTTGCGATACGATACGTATCTCGATACATGTAACACGATACGATACGTATCTCGATATTATTATAAATTGTAAAACTATTTAAAAAACTCAGTATTTTATTTCATTTTTGTCTTCTTGACAATAACAAATATGAATTTAAGTTATTCTATATCAAATCATATATGTTTTGAAATTAATACTTGAAGTTCATAAATTTCATTGACTAAAAAATTTACAAATATAATATTACATTTACATATTGCCAAATATCTTTAAACAAGTTTTCAAATAGTTGTGCAGTTCATCAGGAACACTGACTAAAAATTCATTTTATAAAAATCATCACATGTACATTAATTATTATTAATTGCTGAAAGTCTCTAATCAAGTTGAGTTCACAAAAAAAAATTAATCAACAATTTGATTTAAAATTTCAAATTCTTTTTAATGAAATTAGAGAATCCATTCTTTGTTATGAGCTGTTACTGCCAGATGGACCAACAATTTATAATATCAACTGTTGTGGAAACGATACTTTCTGTATATAACACTTTACGTACTGAACTTTTCTTGTCCCATCTTCCGCATATGCTTCAAAGTGAAAAATGTTTTACCCCTTATCTACGACATATTTGTTCTAAAGCGTGTTTTCAATATCAACATCATCTCTTCGTTTCGTACAAGCCGCCATTTTCCAAGAACAACTACTTTCATTTTCAATTTTTTGATAGGTCGTTCGTGTATCGTTTCGTACCGATATTTCAATGCATGTATCGTAAACCGTATCTTAGAAGAAAATATCGGTATGTATCGGTGTATCGGTATATCGTCCCACCCCTATTACATACATGTACTTACATTTTACGCAGTGTAACTGTTTTTTTTGGCGATGAGTTACTTTTCCTTTTGAAATGGTTCACAACCACTACCAGCTGACTTATTACTTTTCCTTGAGTTTCTCCAAGAATGATAGAGTTCATGCTGCTACAGTAATGTTGGTATGTAGGATTACTGTTGGTATGTAGGATTACTGTTGCTTTCATTATGTAACCCTCTTTGTTGTGAAAAAACATTTTCAATCACATCACTGTTGATTCTGTTAGGTATGATAGATCCCCCGCTCACTTTCAGTTTTTCTCTGCAGAACTCATCAAAACCAATCAACAATGATGCAATATCTTCCCTACATTGAAATGAAAGCAAGGATTTTTCTTTCTCTTTAATTTCATCATTACTTTTGTTTTCAGTTTCCCAACTTTGAAACCATGAGAGGACATCTCTATTCTGTTTTAGTCGAGCATCTTCATAGTATTTTAGTGGTCTACTGTCTCTAAAAATATTAACCAATACTGATGTGTTTTGTAGAAGTTTAATGGTGCCTTTTAATTCAGCAGACTTTGAGGCATCAGACAAGGACTTTTTTTTTATAACAAATCCTCATATGTAACATATCCTTATCCAAGACTTCCTCGGCCAAATGGTTCTTCATTTTAGACTCCGAGGTAAGGAAATAATGTTCATGTGCTAATTTTCGGTGAATTGGATTGGGGTTTTCAGACACATCATATAGTTAAATGCTTGCACCCAATGATCCCATAAAATGAGTGAAGATCTGTGAGGTGAGTCAATTTCTTTTTATGTGCAGATCTCAAACCACTTTTACAAGTTATAATCCATTATTATAGAGATTTTTGGTAATGGTGGTCTGAATATGTTTGTTACTAACATGGTTTTTAAAGTGTCAGTCTTCTGATCAAGTAGTAGCATTTTCATGAAATCTCGATTGGTCTATGCACCATTCATGCTAACATAACGAACTACAAAACCATACAATGCTAACATTTTCACAGCTTTCCAAAAATAATGTACAATTCAGATGCTGAGATTTGTTTTGTACGGAAGCCCAATAGTGCAAACGAAATTATTAAATAAAGAAAACGAAATTATTAAATAAAGAAAAACGAAATTATTAAATAAAGAAAAACGAAATTATTAAATAAAAAACAGACGAAATTATTAAATAAAGAAAACGAAATTATTAAATAAAGAAAAACGAAATTATTAAATAAAGAAAACGAAATTATTAAATAAAGAAAACGAAATTACTATAAAAAACTGAAACTAAAATACGGAATTTATAGATGTGCATGGTAAGGGCCTGAACACATGAATCATTCCATTCTATGACCTGATTTTGTTTCGACATCAAAACAAGTGTGATATTTGCATTTACACTCAGCTATTCCCGTATCGATAACATAACCAGTTGGAGTAGACAATCACAATACATGAATAAGGGAGAATTGTACCTTTGGTTATCCAATATGCTTAGATCTATGTTCTTACATTAACATGATTAATGTGAACTTTGACCAGTCTGATGAATTGGCCAGTAATTCGATGACAAAAGTTAAAGGCCTATTTACACGGTATGATTTGTAAGATGTGACTCGCCACATCTTACAAAAATCATACTGTGTAAATAGGAAAATCATAAGCCATATATGAAGTCAGATGGAATAGAAACATGCTCTATTCTGTCTGGCAAGTCAGATGGTTTCAACTAATCATGAGCAAGGTCAGAAAGGTTGATCTGAATTAGGTACAATTAACACGTGGATTTTTCCCGAACTTTTGCTCCAGATTAATTTTTAAGATAAATGTGATATATTACATGGCCAAATCTTGGGGGAATTTTTCATTCCATGTACTTGAATTGATAATGGCAGGAAAGTTAAACTGAACAAACCAGTTGTTTACAAATTATACTTAGAAGTAAATTTGTCTGAAAAATGAAATCATGTAGGTCTTTCGTAGCCAATTCATTTACTTATTGCATAATATGCACCATGTCCTAACCAAAGTCTTGCCCATGTTCTTCTGTGTTCAAATAGTACATAGCTGCTATCATTAGGAATAGGAAAGGTAGTATGTAACTGCCGTTATCTATTGTTAAATTGTAAACAATAAGAAATTTGGAGGGAAATATTAATGAACTACATATCTGACAAATCATACAATGTAAATGAAACACTGAAGTTAGATGTGAAATCACATCTTAAAAGTCAGACCGTGTAAATAGGCCTTAACGTTAACATTAGCTTTCTTAAACCCTCAGCTCAGAAGGTCTAATTATCAGCGTACACTGAATCTGGACATGAAACATCAAAGAGATTATGCTAATGAATTGCACAAATATTCCAGATATACATGTCTGTTAAGATTCCGTTGTTTACAACTGCTGAACTTTATAACATTTAGGAAATTCCCATGGCTATACATCATTTTCAATTATCGCACAGTACAAAAATGTTGTAAAATGATACGTTACCGATCGGATTTTGCGGTTTGTTTGACATTATTAAAAAAACTGTTTTTAAAGAGAGCAAGTCAAAAATTAAACAAGTCAAAGTGGTTACAATGAGTAGATTTTAATGATTGCTAACTTTATTAAAATCAAGCTAATTTCTTGGTCATTTTATCAAAGCATAATTAGAAGTGATGCAAATGACAAATTCTCAATCTGTATTTATAAGTCATAAGTGATAGTTGTGAACAAACAATGCACACACTTGCATAACAAATCCCACAAAGTATTCAAATCATTCTCTTTATTGTTTCAACAACCTAAGATTTATGGATACACAGATAGGGCGCTAGGTTTAGTTCGGGGGGAATTCAGCAATACGATGCGCAAGGCCTTGACCTTTCAGCGATTCATGAGCTCTTTTGGAATCCTTTCAGGATTCATGAGCTCTTTTGGAATGTCATTAATAAGCAGAAACAGCCATCCTCGCTCGCTACATCCAGGCTTAAAGGCTCAAACTTTGACGTTGTGGGGATGCGACACAGCATCAAATTTGAAAAGTTATGAATCATTCACTTCAAAAATGCGAATTATAGGCTGTGGGCACATAATATTTTTCTACGTTTGTCAATTTGACATTTATCTAAGTTTTTTTTTATTTTTCATTTCCCCCACACTTGTTTTAATGTTGAAACAAAATCAGGTCTATAGAATTACTAAATGATGCTTTATAACACGTGCGCTTTATGGAATAATTCATGGGTTCAGGCCCTTACCATGCACATCTATAAATTAATTCCGTATTTTAGTTTCATTTTTAGGTCACCTGAGTTACTCAGGTGACCTATTGCTATCTCTTTTCGTCCGGCGACGTGCGTCGTCCGTCGGTCGTAAACTTTTGAACATTTTCAGCTTCTTCTCTGGAACCAGTGAACCAATTTCAACTAATTTTGGCATGTAGCATCTATGGGTGAAGGAGAACAAAAATTGTGAAATTTGTGGCCCCTGCCCCCCAGAGGCCTGAGGGGTGGGGCCAAAACCATCAAAATTAATGCAATCTCTAAAAATCTTCTTCTTTACTACTGGACATCAAGCAGTCAAACTGTTGGCATGATTGTAATAAGCATTGAGCCCTCTACCAAAATTGTGAAATTCATGGCCCCAGGGTCTGGGGTTCTGGTGCTAGGGTGGGGCTATATAGATCATATAGTGAAAGTGCATTATTTCTTTGAAAATCTTCTTCTCTACTCCTGGGTATTATTGAAACAAATTAAATACATAGTTATGATAAGTAAGGGTGACTCTACCAAAATTGTGAAATTCATGGCCCAAGGGTCAGGGGTTCTGGTGCTAGGGCTGGGCTATATAGATCATATAGTGAAAGTGCATTATTTCTTTGAAAATCTTCTCTACTCCAGGGTATTATTTAAACAAATTAAATACATAGATATGATAAACAAGGATGCCTCTTCCAAAATTGTGAAATTCATGACCCCACGTTCAAGGGTTCTGGTGGTGGGGGGGGGGGCTTCTATTGATTATAAAGTGAAAAAGCAAAATTTCTTTGAAAATATTCTTTTCTGCTTCTGGTTAAAAAGCAAAGAAGCTAAGTGTATAGATATGATGAGCAGGAGTGCTTCTTCCAGAGAAGTGAATTTCATGACCCCTGGGTCAGATTTGCTGGTGTAAGGGTGGGACTCTTGATAATATAGTGAAAATGCATCAATTCTATTAAATATCCCTGTTTGTTCCTTAGTGTTAAGCAGATAAACAAAGTGATAAGTTATGATGAGCAAACTTATGGTCCCGCACAGGGTCAGAGGCTCTGGTGTTTCTCATTTGGGGAATGGGGGGGGGGGGGCTCTATTGATAATATAGTGAATCTTTAGTAAAAATGCATTATTTCTTTAAAAATCTTCTCTGCACTTGGGCATATCTGAGGCAAACAGAGTAAAAGTTTTTATAAGGAAGGGTATTTTTACCAGATTTTTGAACATCTGGACCATTTAGTCAAATGTTCTGGTCCTGGCCAGGGCTCTATTAATTTGTATTCTACTGAGAGGAGTTATTCCCCTTTGCCATTTACTTTTGATAATTAATCACTGTAAATAATGTACCTGAAAGGTAAATAGAATAAGAGAATTATGCAAGAATTTTTATTATACAATAGAAAAAGTACTTTCATAGTTGTAATGATCAGGTAGACTTGTAAGTGGTAGATAAATAAAAGTGATACAAAAATAACTTGTCTTATTATATGTTCATCAAAGACCAAGAGAGGCCAATGTAAGAGATTTCAACAAGAGATTAAAAATAATACAGAAGCATTGATAATTTCTTAATGTACTGTATAGTGATAAATGGGAAACAGGTTAGAACCTAATTTATGAACTGTTAATGAATATTAAGACTAATTATTTTGTTGATCCTGATCATCCTATTTTTCTTAAGCTTGCTTTTGGGCAACAAAGCTTCACCTTTCAGTTCATTTTATACTCTTTGCATCCTTTAAATTGTTGTATTATACTCAGGTGACCGTTAAGGCCCTTGGGCCTCTTGTTTAAATTTAATTTCGTTTTTCTTTATTTAATAATTTCGTTTGTTTTTTTTATTAAATAATTTCGTTTCCTTTATTTAATAATTTCGTTTTCTTTATTTAATAATTTCGTTAGTTTTTTATTTAATAATTTCGTTTTCTTTATTTAATAATTTCGTTTTCTTTATTTAATAATTTCGTTTTTTATTTAATAATTTCGTTTTCTTTATTTAATAATTTTGTTTGCACTATTGGGCTTCCGTAGTTTTGTGGGGAAATGAGCAAATGGAAAACGAAACCCACTGCTGCCTAAAAAAAAACTAACTGTAGCACCTGATTTGCCAACTGCACTTCATTATTTTTTGCATAGCAAAACTTTCATAATTTCCATCCACAAAACCAACAAGTTGAAAATGATCCCCTTTTTCTTAATTGCCAGGTCCTCTTGAATAGCCATTTCATCTATGATGAGGCCTCCTTCATGACCCTCTGTGGAGAGATTTTGGACAGATGCTTCATTCCTTATCCATTCTAAGGCATGCTTCTGGATACCAGCTTGTTGGGTAAGCTTGTTTTTTGTCCCCCGCTTTCACTGAAAGTGGGGGATATTAATTTGGGTCTGTCTGTCCGTCCGTCCGTCTGTATTTCTGTCTGTCTGTAACACTTTTGTTTCCCCGCGATATCTCGTGCACCCTTTGAGCTTTCGCAATGAAATTTGCATAGCAACTCCCTATGGCCTAAAAAGAACCCTATTGATTTTGAGGTCAAAAGGTCAAGGTCATAAATTCTGTCTGTTTTAACACTTTCGTTTCCGCGCGATATTTCGAGAATCCTTTGATCTATTGCAATGAAATTTTACATAACTCCCTGTGGCCTAAGGAAGACCCCTATTGATTTTGGGGTCAAAAGAAAGTTCAAGGTCGTAAATTTACACAATCCTTCTGTGTGTAGCACTTTCGTTTCCAGGCGATATCTCAATAAGCTTTTGAGCTTTTGCAATGAAATCTTATACCATAACTCCCTAGGGCCTCTCTCACCCCTCTCAAAGTGTCCCGCCCCGTTTTTTTCCCCCGCTTTCACTGAAAGTGGGGGATATTAATTTGGGTCTGTCTGTCCGTCCGTCTATATTTCTGTCTGTAACGCTTTCGTTTCCGCGCGATACCTCGGGAACCCTTTGAGCTTTCGCAATGAAATTTTGCACAGCATCTTCCTATGGCCTAAGGAAGATCCCTATTGATTTTGAGGTCAAAAGGTCAAAGTTCAAGGTCGTAAATTTACACAATCCTTCTGTGTGTAACACTTTCGTTTCCGCGCGATATCTCGAGAATTCTTCGAGCTTTTGCAATGAAATTTTACATAACAACTTCCTGTGGCCTAAGGAAGACCCCTATTGATTTTGAGGTCAAAAGGTCAAAGTTCAAGGTTGTAAATTCATACATTCCGTATGTGTGTAACAATTTCGTTTCCGGGCGGTATCTCAAGAAGCGTTGCAATGAAATTTTATACCATAACTCCATAGGGCCTCTCTCGCCCCTCTCAAAGTGTCCCGCCCCGTTTTTTTTTTTTTTTTTTTTTTTTTTTTGATTATTTATTGTATTAAAAGTCGCTTGGCACTATTTTTAGCACAGGGGCATGTGGAGAGTTATTACGTATAGTACAGGTTGACGGCGGACTTTATATTCTTATTACATCTTTTAGAACTGTTTAGTAAAGGCTAAATTAGACACCATGTATTGATTAAAATTTTGACAATATCGAACGTGAATATAAACATTATATGTGACCTACTGTTTGCATTTAATTTGCTGTAGAATAATGCCTCCGTGGTCTAGGGGTATGATGCTGGCTTAGCAAGGGAGCGACCCGGGTTAAAATCCCGGTCGATCCTTTTTTTTGGAATTTTTTTTATTTGTGGATTTACTAAATGATAGTATTCAGCATGTGAAATGAAAAGGTTATGACGTCTGGCTTGTACAAACTCATAAAATCATTATCACAGTGTGATAAATATTCTATATAAAAAGAACCTTCTATACACATATTAAAGAATAAGCAATCAAATCTTTATATCCATATTGGCATTTTTTATTTGCTTCAATATACATGTATACATTTAATTATTCTACAAATCCAGGGGGGGGGGGTCCGACCTCACCCCCCCCCCCCCGAAATGCGCATGCTCGTCTTTTTCCCAAAGCGGGGGACACAAATTCTCTGAATTAGCTTGTTAAGGTCTTCCGTTTTCACGGAAGACCTTATAGTGATTCTACTGTTTCTTATTATTATTAAGGTCTTCCGTTTCAGACGGAAGACCTTATAGTGATTCTACTGTTTCTTCTTTATTATTATTTTTTTTCCCCTTTTCTTTTCGGGGCGATTTCTCAGAGATGTCTGGACGGATTTTCTTGAAATTTTCAGGGATGATAGAAAATAAAAATACGCCTGGGCGTTTTTTTCATTTTTTCAAAATTCACTTCCGGTCGTCAGATATGTCCGATTTCCGTTTTTTTCAAAAATATTTTGTCCCAGTCATATCTCAGAAACGGTAAGAGATTAAGACACCAAACTTACATGGTTAATAGATCTTGAGGAGTAGGCAAAACCATTTGGGTTAAGAGCGTCAGCCGTCACTTCCGCTCGTCACAGGAAGTGATCAAAGAGGTCGAAATTTTAAACTTTTTTTTTTTGATTTTTTTCTTTCATCACATTGTTGCATCTTATTTGTAGATTCGAAATATGTTGGTCCCACCGGAAACAAAAACGTCAACTTCCGGCTATAAGCGAAATACTGCATAATTTGAGTATTTTACTTTCCCATAAATATTTTTTATAGATAACGTATATGAACTGATTTTTGAATATGTTATCAAAACTGCAAATGTCTAGAGTAACGTCAAATATCTTTGTAAAATTCACTTCCGGTCGCGCGTATAAATGTCCGCAAAATGAGAACTTGTCCGAGTGATATCTCAGAAACTGTAAGACATTTAGACACCAAACTTATAGGAGTATTAGACCTTGAGGAGTAGACAAAACCATTTGGGTTAAGAGCGTCAGCCGTCACTTCCGGTCGTCACAGGAAGTGATCAAACAAATCAAAAATTTCAACTTTTCTCTTTTGGAATAAGACTTGCATCATGTAATTGTATCTTTTTCACAGTTACGATATGTGTTGGTCCCACCGGAAACAAAAACGACAACTTCCGGTTATAAGAGAAAAACTACATAAAAGGGTTTTTGAATTTTCCCCAACATATCGCTTATAGATAGAGTTCTTTAAATGAATTTTATATATGTTATTGAGACTGCAGATGTCTATAGTGACTGAAAATATCTTAGTAAAATTCACTTCCGGTCGCGTGTTTTCTTGTCCTCAAAATGAAAAGTTATTTCAGCGAGATCTCGGAAACGGCATGAAAGTAAGACACCAAACTTATAGGAGTATTAAACGTTGGTGAGAAGGCAAAACACATAGGTTTAAAAGCGTCAGCCGTCACTTCCGGTCATCACAGGAAGTGATCGAAGAAATCGAAAATTTTCTTTTTAAAATTAAAACTTTCATCACTTTATTGCTTCCCTTTCGCTGTTTTGAAATATGTTAGATTCCTACGGAAACAAAAACTTCAAACTTCCGGTTTTAAGAGATAAACGACGTTATTTCGTGGTTCAACTTTCGCATAAATATTACTTATAGATAAGTATTTGAAATGTTTTTTTTTTACATATACTGCAAAAGTCAAGAGAAAATTCAGAGATTTTTATTCAGTTCACTTCCGGTCGTGTGTTTTCCTGTCCTCAAAATTAGAATTTGTTCTCACAACTGTTCGGCAACAGTAAAAGACTGAAGTCTAAAACTTTCAGGACTTATACTCAGTCATCAGTTCATTTGCATTGTGTAAAAATCGTGTGTCGTCAATACCTCCGGTCGTGACAGGAAACGAAGCAAAAAAGTATTTTTTAAATTATTTTGTTTCTACATCAGTTTTAGGCTAATACCGATGTTGGAAAAGACATGTTGATGCAAACAGGAAGTAGTATAACGGAAGACCTTCTCATTACTAGTAATGAGTTTCTAGTATTCTTAATATTATTGTATAGACGAAATTTTGTAAAGAACTTTGTCCGCTCCATTTCTCCAGAACAGCTTAAGATATGAAAGTTAACTCTGTCAAATATCATAGATAATGACGTGTAGATGTCACCATGAACATTTTTTCCGTCGTCAATACTTCCGGTCGTCACAGAAAGTGGATTTAAAAGTCGATTTTTTCAATTTCTTCGTCTTTCTAACTTCTTTTTTCTATAATATTCACAGGGTATGTAAAGGCCCCTCTTTGAAGATTTTACGTATTGCCAGTTTCTTGATTTGATTAAGAAGGAATTAAATATCTTTAAATATCTTAGAATTTCTGAAAACGTAGGACCAACGTTTCTTAAACACTACAAAATATTGATTTTTTTTTTGTCGTATATATAGTTTACGGGGACTGCTCCGGGCTCATTCTCTTAGGATGAAGTGTAGAGGTAACACTTCTCTGGTGACTGAGATAGGCCAGAAAAATCTTCCTGTTGCCATGGAAACAAGTTTATATTAAATAAAAATGGTTGAATATGATATATATCATGTGTGCGCATTTTATTCACCCCTCTTTTATTTTGTCAACTGTAGAAGACATTGTCATCTTTACAGACCCCCCCCCCCCCCTTCTCTTTTATTGTAATGAATGCAAATGTCGCTTTTATGTTTTGGATTATAAATAAAATGACCTTGACCTTCATATCACAAGCAACTCTTCTTGAAGTTTTCAAAGTGATAAGGCTTAATTCTTTCTACAAAATAATGGTAATTTACATGTTTATGTTCAAGACCCCCCCCCCCCCCCCACTCGAAGCAGCCAGGTGGAATAGGTAGATATAAAATATACAACTTATAAGGAACTTCTTAAGAGTGTCATTAATAAAATTCAGTTCCCCTGATGTGATTTGATATTTTGCTACCATTCATTCTTCTTCTGATTCATCTTAAGAATTTATAATTATTTTATTTAGAATTAATTTATCTTTAGAAAGTAGCGATTGTCAGCTGCATTCCTTAGCATTTTATTGTATATCTATTACTTGCATATTAATAATTTCATTAAATAATATATATATATATATAAGTATTAGAACTTCATTTCCGTTGTTTTTATTAAATTCGTAAATCCTTGGATCCGCTCCTGCAGGTGCGCGAAAGCCTCATCACTACTGTAAACAAATTATTCATCACGCCGAAAATGTTCATGATTCCGCTAAACTAAGAAAGTTTACACATAGTTAATCATCTCATAAACAAACATCACCCTATCCAATACAGAAATGCTCGAACTGAAGGGGAAAATTCAGGAATTGTTTTGCGTCAGCCATGTTTTGACGTGAACCTTACACGCCATTCTCTTATTAGGGTCTTCCGTCTTCAGCGGAAGACCCTTCTATTATTCTTATGTTTCTTTTTCACTTTTATTATTAGGGTCTTCCGTCTTCAGATTTATTTCAAATTTTCAGGGTTGATGGGTCCTTATCTGAAGTTAATTCCGGCATTTCCGTTTTTGATAAATCACTTCCGGTCGGAAGTTATCGCCCTTTAATTGAAATTTTAGTGACCATTTTGTCTACACAAAAACGCAAAAACGACAAAAGCTAGAGTGCTGAAATTTTCAGTGATAATAGAGGACATGTTCTAGTTGTGCACCTCAGTTTTCAAATTTTCTGGAAGTGCCTAGTATGGAAGCTCGGTAGGGGTCGAAATTTAGGACATGAATCAGGAGTGAATTTTTGAGAAATTTTTTAACATATCTTCAAAACTATGAATATTTTCTGAAAACATGTTGAATAGAAAATGTGTAAAATTACTGAATCTTTTATATGACATCAAGAGAAAAGGGCTGACTCATCACATTAGGGGCCAAGAAGGGCCAAAAGTCTTAAAACTATAACTCTTTAACGATCAATATTTTGTTATACATTACTAAAGCAAAAATGTTTATCTAAACAAACTACAACTATATATTATGATATTTATCTCATATGTTACATAATTAGGGGCCATAAGGGGCCAAAATGCTAAATCTTTGACGCTTTATATCTTGAAAGTGGGAAATATTTTGATAAGCAATATTGAACAAAAGATGTTTAAAATAATGTGCCAAACAATATGCAACCTTTCATTTTTTGCTAAACGTCCCCATTAAGGCGTTGAAGGGCAGGCACTTAAATACTTCTTTTGCAAATATCTCAGAAACGAAAAAGAATTTCTGACTAGTTGTTGAACAAAAAGTGTTCAAAATTATGAGAGCTTTAAAGTGATATGAAGAAATGGGGGCTGACCCCTCAAAATAGGGGCTGAGAGGGGCCGAAAGTCTTTGAACAAAAACTCTTTAACGATCAATATTTTGTAATGCATTACTGAAGCAAAAATGTTTATCTCAACAATGTACAACTATATATTATGATATTCACATCATATGTTACATAATGAGGGGCCATAAGGGGCCAGAATGCTTAATCTTCGACGCTTTATATCTCCAAAGTGGGAAATAATTTGATAAGCAATATTGAACAAAAGATGTTCAAAATAATGTTCTAAACAATATGCAACCTTTTAATTTTTGCTAAACGTCCCCATTAAGGAGTTGATGGGCCGGCCCCTAAATATATCCTACGCATACATCTCAGAAACGAAAAAGAATTTTTGAATAATTGTTGAACAAAAAAAGTTCAAAATCATGAGAGCTTTAAGGTGATATCAAGGAAAAGGGTCTGACCCCTTAAATTAGGGGCTGAGTGGGACCGAAAGAATACAATCAATAACTCTTTAATGATCAATATTTTGTAATATATTATTGAACCGAAATAGTTCATCTTCACACTCTGTTTAAATAACATGATGTTGATATCATATGTTACGCAATAAGGGGTCTTTAGGGGCCTGATTGCACAGTCTTTGTATATATCTCGAAAAGGAAGAATATTTTGATAAACAGTATTGAAGAAAAGACGTTCAAAATAATATTCTGAACAATATGCACTCTTTCATTTTTTGCTAGACGTACCCATTTAGGACTTGAAGGGCCGGCTCTAAATATTTCTTTTGCATATATCCCGAAAAACAAAAAGAATTTCTGAATAGTTCTTAAACAAAAAGTGTTCAAAATCATGAGAGCTTTAAGATGATATCAAGAAAAAGGGGCTGACCTCTCACATTAGGGGCCAAGGAGGGCCGAAAGTCTTTAATCTATAACCCTTTAATGATCAATATTTTGTTAAACATTACTAAAGCAAACTTGTTCGTCTTAACAATTTATTTATATCATTATATTTGAACGAAAATCTCAGTCAAATTCTTATCTTATCAAAAATCGGACGGAAGACCCACTCGTTGCTCGCAACGAGATCGCATCTAGTTATTATTATTATTATTATTATTATTATTATTTTTGACCAAATTTTGTGCAGGCGTTTTCTCGAAAACAATTCTGTGGTTTTTCGTGAAACTTTCAGGAAAAATTAGTCATTGTATGAACTTGTTTCATCACAAGGAGAATTTGGAAAATTCCATTTTGGTTCCAAGTTACGGGCAATTTCCTGATTTTAAATTGAAATTTTGTCCGCGAATGTTCTCAAGAATGACTAAAGATATGACCTGGAGACTTATTGGAGAGCATAGAACGTGACTTTTAAATTTGTGGAATCACATTTTCGTTCGTCGTCGGCACTTCCGGTCGTTTACGGAAGTGATCAAAGAAATAAAATTTCAACTTTCTTTTTTTAAATCAATACTTACATCACATTATTGCATCTCTTTTGTAGTTTCGAAATATGTTGGTCCCACCGGAAACAAAAACGTCAACTTCCGGTTATAAGAGAAAAACTACATAATTTTAGTATTTTTCTTTCCCATTAATATCCTTTGTAGATAAAGTATTTGAAATGAATTTTAAATATGTTATTCAAACTGCATAAATCTAGAGTAACGTCAAATATCTTTGTAAAATTCACTTCCGGTCGCGTGTTTTCCTGTCCTCAAAATGAGAAGTTCTCTGAGCAAGATCTCGGAAACGGTGAGAGATTAAGACACCAAACTTATATGAGCAACAGACCTTAAGATGTAGGCAAAACCATTTGGGTTCAGAGCGTCAGCCGTCACTTCCGGTCGTCACAGGAAGTGATCAAAGAAATCGAAAATTTTAACTTTTCTTTTTTTAATTAAAAATTGCATCACTTTATTGCATCTTTTTCGCAGATTCGAAAGATGTTGGTCTCACCGGAAACAAAAGCGACAACTTCCGGTTATAAGAGAAAACTACATAATTTGAGTATTTTACTTTTCCATCAATATTTTTTCTAGAAAAAATTTTTGAAATGAATTTTAAATATGTTATTCAGACTGCAAATGTCTAGAGTAATCGTAAATATCTTTCAAAAATTCACTTCCGGTCGCATGTTTTCCTGTCCTCAAAATGTGAAGTCTGAGCGAGATCTCAAAACCAGGTAAAAGATTAAAACACCAAACTTTTATGAGTAATAGACCTTGAAGAGTAGGCAAAACCATCTGGGTTAAACGCGTCAGTTGTCACTTCCGCTTGTCACAGTAAGTGATCAAAGAAATCTAAAAAAAAAATTAACTTTTCTTTTTTAAATTAATGCTTGCATCATTTATTGCATCTCTTTCGCTTTTTTGAAATATGTTAGATTCCACCGGAAACAAAACCGTCAACTTCCGGTTTTAGGAGATAAACTACTTTGCTTTGATATTTAACTTTCTCATAAATATTGTTCATCGATAAAGTACTTGAAATGACTTTATGTATGTTGTATATATTGCAAATGTCTAGAGAAAAGTCAAAGATTTTTTTATAAAATTCACTTCCGGTCTCGTGTTTACCTGTCCTCAAAATTAGAATTTGATCCCACAATATTGCTCGGCAACAGTAAACGACTGAAGTCTAAAACTTTCAGGACTGATGGTCAGTCATCAGTTATATGAATCGTGAGAAAATCTTGTATCGCCGTTACTTCCGGTCGTGACCGGAAGTGATGTAAAAAATGAATGGTTAATGTTAGCAAGTTGGATTTTCACGCTGACGACCAGGGTTAAATTTCCAGAGTGTCTGAATTTCTTTTATCTCTTTTTCAGCTTGAATTTTCTTTTTTTATTTTCAGAATCGGACGGAAGACCTCTCATTGCTCGCAATGAGTTTCTAGTTTATTATTATTATTATTTCTTGTATTAAAAGTCGCTTGGCACTATTTTTAGCACAGGGCATGTGGAGCGTTATTACGTATAATACAGGTTGTTGGCGGACTTTATATTCTTAATACATCTATTAGAACTGTTTAGTAAAGGCTAAATTAGACACCATGTATTGTGTAAAATTTTGACAATATCGAAGGTGAATATAAACATTATATGTGACCTTATATTTGCATTTAATTTGTTATATAATCAAGTGCCTCCGTGGTCTAGGGGTATGACTCTCGCTTAGCATGTGAGAGGTAACGGGTTCAAATCCCAGACGATCCTTTTTTTTTTTGATTTACTAAATGATAGTATTCAGCATGTGAAATGAAAAAGTTATGACGTCCGGCTTGTACAAACTCATAAAATCATTATTACTGTGTGATCAATATTCTATATAAAAAGAATCATCTATACACATATTAAAGAATAAGCAATCAAATCTTTATATCCATATTGGTATTTTTTTATTTGCTTTAATATACATGTATACATTTAATAATTCTACAAATCCAGGGGGGGGGGGTCGGACACCCCCCCCCCCGAACTGCGCATGCTCTTCTTTTTTCCCTAAGTGGGGGACACAAATTCTCTGAATTAGCTTGTATATATCTTGATGGGAGGCACAAGAATCCACTGTTCCACATATCAACATAGGATTTTGGTGACCGACAATACAATGTAAGACAAAGTCTTATTATTTCAGGTTTCCACCTTCATGCTTGTGGTGTTGATTTTAGATTAACACTCTGTGATAACAGAAATGTCTTTGCCTTTTCTGGGCTATTGGGTAAAACTCTATTCAAAATAGTTCTCATGTCATCTCTTTCATCTAGCTCCACTGTGTCTGTATCATTATCGGCATTAATTTCTTTACCAGAGGCATTATTCATCTGTGTTTCCCTGAATTAATTTTCTGCACCTCTCACAGTGGGGCACCTTGGATAAGAATGTTACACACTGCTGACATGACTTAATTCTATAGAAAACAGAGCCTGAATTCTCATCATTAGAAAATGACCTATATTCTTTTTGATATTAAAATTTGTGTCAAGTGTGGTTAAATCTTTAATTTGTTTTTCAGGAATTCCAGGATACAGTCGTAAAGTTTTCAAGACATCAAATGTATTACGAACACTCCTCACTTAAAGAAAAATTCTGAGATATATGAAGCCTTCCAATATCGATAATTTTTCCACATAGGTTAATTTCGTAACTCTTGTCCCAAGAAAAAGTAATTTCACTTAATAAACGGTTCCCATTGATGCAGTGTCCATTGACATATCCTATTGTAATTTCTTTTTCAGTTTCTTTAATTTTAAAAACATCATCTCCACCATGATTTTGAATGTCGAAAAATGTGTCAATTGTTTCTCTTCTAAGTTTCTTGATATTGATTTAAATGAAATTACTTTGTATAAAACTGTTGTTTTTGTCCAATTAAACTTGTTTCTGACTTTTTTTTTAGATGTGTTTGGATAAAGCCTTTCAATTATACCACCTATGTGGTTCGAAGAAAATTTACTTTCAAGCTTGTGGTGAATTTCAGAAAGTTGGATCTCTCCATTTATATTTGGTTCCACATTTTCAGTCATCCTAAGAGACAGTAATTGTACATATATATTATAATTTTAAATGCATACACTGTACAGTTATGGTAGAAGAAGATGTAAAGATGTTTTTAAAAAAATCAAAAAAACTGCATCGGCTCCCTTGATATATATTATTTTGCCTGCTGTGGAAAATCTTAGAGCCTAATCCTATATGTCACATTAAGATTAACTAACATGTCTGTCTGCAGTTGATTTTTATGGTTTGAAGTTAAAGGACCCTCAATATTTTTTTGGACTCTGAGGAAATAATATGAAGATGTAAATATGGAGCTTATCTATTTAATTTTCAACATATGATACCTGCCATACATTTACCCCCCCCCCCCCCCCAACTGTTTCTCACTTCAATTGGAGAAGTATATGCAAAGAAAGTGTTCCCTTAATTCATCTAGGTCAAAATGAAATGTTCAGATTGCTTTAATTGATTACAAATCGAGTAATAAACATAAGATATTAATTTATTTTATATCTAAGAGCAGATCACTCTTACTGCTTACAACTATATACCATGGAATAAGACTTCTTTAATGTGCAATGTATGGAGGAATCCAAGCAATGATATATAGGTAAAACTTGCATTCACTGAAGGATGTTCTATACTTTTTTTGATTTTCAAATATAAATTTCATTAAAGCAAAATTTTAAATTTAAAATTGTTTCATAAGTTAAATTAAAAATATTATTGAAATATTTTTTTTTATTCACTGCCTTTTGTAAGTATACATGTACAAGGACACTGTAAAAAATTCACAGGTAGTAATAATATCACTATCATTAAAAAAATATGATTACATTTCATTATTTACAAATCTTGTTTCATAGACTTCACAAATTTTGAATTTCAGTTTTTCTTTTTTTATATTCAATCTATTGTGTACTCATTCCTTTAACATCAACCATGCACGGATGCATACACGGATGCGGGACCATTGATGACTAGTCATTTTTTTTCGTGTGAATTTTTTACAGTGTCCTTTTCAGATTTGATTCAATTACAGAATTGAATATATATAGGAGACAAATTAATTATTTGGTTAAAAGTAAATTTGGCTTCCATGGCACCTTTTTATCATTTCATGGTGCTTCTCAAGTACATCTAATGTACTAATTTTGCATTTTGATACTCATGGAAATGAACAACCAATAATTTATTTATATACTATATAAACCACATACCGTTCACGGTAGCTCAGTCGGTAGAACGCTCGCTCCGTGATCGGGAGGTCGTGAGTTCGAATCTCAGCCGCGACTGACCTAAGTCGATCAAAAAATGGGTAGTAACTGTTCCTTCGCAATGCGCTCGGCAACTTTGAAGTGAAAGTTGCGGGTCCTTCGTATGAGACCTTAAAAACCGAGGTCCGTTGTCACGGCAGGCGTTGGCACGATAAAGATCCTTCACTGCTCAATGGCCCCGAGTGCCGAGTAAAAGTCAAAATTTGAAGCCCTTCACTGGTATATGGTGACGTCTCTATATGAGTGAAAAATTCTCGAATGGGACGAAAAACAACATACAAGTACAATCAATATAAACCACATATAAATGTTATAAATAACATAGGCGTTGGAACCAAATTGAAAGTGTAAGTGTGTGTGTGTGTGTGTGTGTGTGGAGGGGGGCGGCTAAACCAACAAAAAACGTTTGGGGGCTAACTCCATTTTTCAGTGCCTATATTATGTCTATCTCAGTTTGCAAAAAAGGTGGGGGTGGGCTAAATTATAAAATGTGTATTCTTCAGTTTAGATTATTTATTAACTAGTATACATGTAGTTCACTTATATAGGTACTTCTGATAAAAACAGGTGAGTCCTAAGGCCCATGATTTTCGTCTACACACATTCAGTGTATGAATATAAATAATTCAATATTTTTTATTACTGAATAATTTACTGTGTTATAGATAACTTGATCTCTTTAATTTTGGCATATACAACACGTTTTTGGCTTGGAAAGTATTTCCATCATTCATTTCAACCTACCATCGGGGTTTGATCTGCTACGAAAGTCGTCGACATTGTGGACGTTTTTAGCAATTTTTATTAGTTTGAATATTGGCGCTTTCAATACAACGATTCTCTGCCCTTGCGTCGTATCCATGCAATCAACCGCCAGGCGTCGCGGTTTTGTAAACTTCCGTTCTTCGCAGCTCGATTTCAAGAAACGGAATGCCAAATCGTTTTCTATTGATTGCACGCGTGTTGACGACTGACATGAACATTTAGAAAAATCATCACTGTAGGGAAGAAAACCGTGACAACGAATTAAATTAATGCTTAAGAGTCCAGAAATAGGTGCTGAAGTGGGTGGGGGTATTTTTCCCACGACAAAAGCTTTAGTCCCGTGTAGAGTTTATGTATATAGGTGTGGTACTTTTTTAACTTGATTTTTCTTGCCTGAAAGTGTCAGAATCTCTACTGAAGCAACTTTTAAAGTGTAATTTTTAAAATTTATTTTACATTTAACAATCCGGAAGACAAACCACTATGAATCCTCCTACACTTTTAGTCTGATTTATCAATTAACAATAGTTACTTTCATTCATATGTCGACTCGATATATCCCAGTGAGCTTGAAATAAAAGATACCAGATTCTGACACATCTGTTTCATACTTAGATATTTTACTAGAAAAAGACGTTAATGGTAACCTAACAACAAAGCTTTATGATAAACGTGATGACTTCAACTTTTCAATCGTCAATTCCCTTACTTATGTAGCAATATACCCTTAACACTTGCATATGGGGTTTATATCTCTCAGTTGATTCGATACGCAATAGCATGCTCTACGTATGAACAATTTCTAAAACGAGGCAAGCTATTGAAAAACAAGTTGATGAAACAAGGATATCAACAGTCTCGTTTAAAGTAATCTTTTCGCAGCACATACAACCAATCATTGAGTCAAATGCTGACTGACGTTTTTCATACTTATTGTTAGGCCATTATTTATACACTGAACTGTCTACGGATTTTTTTCTTTTTTTCCCCCGATTATGACAAGGAGCACACGGCAGGGGATGCTCACTCCTCAATGGCACCTGATTCCACCTCTAAATTTTTAGGTCCGTGTTTGCTTTACTCCAAATTTGTATCGTTTCATTGGATTTTTGAGATTGAGTACTGTTTTTATTATCTTCATATTTCAATTCAATATTAGTTGGCACACAAGTAGACTACACTAAGATACATAATTTTGTATATCTGTTTTTGATTTTGATGAACAGTGTTGTCATGGTTACTAAAAATAAAAAAAAAATTCTGTAAAATTCTTTCAAAATGCTACTCCTCCTACAGTTTTAGTCTGATTTCAATATTACTTGGCACACAAGTAGACTACACTAAGATATATAATTCTGTATATTAGTTTTTGATGAAAGATGTTGCCATAAAAAATTCTGTAAAATTCTTTCAAAAGGCTACTCCTCCTACAGCTTAAGTCTGATTGCAATAAATCTTGCTATAATAAGAGACTTAACCAAAGATTATTATTTTATTTATTGCTGTTGCAACGCTTCCAGTCCACATTCTCTTATTTTGTTATAAGTAAAAACCAGTAGAGCTACAGTCTCGTGAGAGACTTCTGGTTCATTAGTGCATGAGAAATGTCAGTGGGTCCCAGCACAGAATGTAGTTTGGTTAGGTTTGCAATGGAATTTTCAAAAACGCCAAGCTCTCGGCACTTTGAAGTGAAAGTTTCGGGTCCTTCGGATGAGACCTTAAAAATCGAGGCCCCGTGTCACGGTAGGCGTTGGCACGATAAGGAACTCTCACTGCTCAACGGCCCTGAGTGCCGAGTAAAGGTCTAGATTTGATACCATTCACCGGTATATGGTGACGTCTCTATATGAGTGAAAAATTCTCGAACGGGACGTAAAAACAACATACAATCAATCAATACAAAGTGTCAAACTTTCTATTCAAAGTCATGGTAATTAGGGACTATTGACGTTGCTGCTTACGAATTTTCGTGGTTTGGGCCTAGGATTTGGCTTGTGCCGCCTCCTGCTTTATTTTCTAAAACAATAAAAAAAAAGTGCTTGTCTGAAAATGTTGTAGGGACCTTAGTTGTTCCGAAATGGATTTTAGCTCCCTTTTGGCCCATCTTTCAAACTTGTAAGAATATTTCCGGTAGCGTCGTATTCAGAAATTGTATCACAGTGAAAGGTAGATACAGAAAAGGGGTAGTTTGCAATAATCCCCTTAGGTTTGATATGGTTGCCTTCAGATTTAATCTTTAAAAGCTTTTTATTTGACAGACATCGGGATACGAGAAAAAGTAAAAGCTGTAGTAGCCGGAAGCGGAGCTGGAAGTGAATTCATGCTTGACTGACCTAGAAGATAAAATGTCGGACTACCTTCTTCAATGAAAAAGTTTCAATACATGGCCGTAGGAACCAGGGGGCACGGGGGGGGGGGCGTGCCCCCCCCCCCCCCCCGATAATTTTGCCGATACATAGATTACCATAGAAAACATAGATAGGCTTGTGCCCCCTCAATAAAAACATCTGACGAGTTTTTTTTTTTTTTTTTTTTTTTTTTTTTTTTGCTTGTCAAGAAATTTTTGGTAGATGAGAGTCCCCCTCAACTGAAAATGTATGGCTGTGCCCCCCCCCCCAAACTGAAATTGCTTCCTACGGGCCTGCAATACCATCAAAACGTACCACGGAAGTTTTTTTTTTTTTTTTTTTTTTTTTTTTAAAAGGAAGAATTTTATCGAAAAAGAAGGCTTTGCACCCTTACCAA